GTTTGGAATCAGATGCACTTTCATCTACTATATTTGATTTCAAATCAAGTTTTCAATTCAACAATTCATGGATTCATCCCTTAAATACAAACTATTAATCAATATATATATATATATATATATATATATATATATATAATTCTGATCAAAGTATATAACACTTTATATTACTTTATATATTTCTCCTTCTGATCTATCCTTCAATTCAAATTTAGAACCAACCACCTTAAACTTCTGTATCTTCAAATCATTCAATTTTAAATTCACAGTTTTTCAATAAGCTACTTACAATATATTCTAGTAAGATTTATACTTGGGTCCAATTGTTAATTATTCTTTTTAAATCAAGAGTTTATTAATCCACAATTTGTTATTTGCATGTCTTCTCTGTTCTTTAAGCTGTAGTAGTTTCTTCTCCTTGAGTCTGCTACCCGGTGCCACCACCAGTCTGCTCCCTTTGCCTTTTACTGATTCACTGTTTCACTGTTTCTTATTTACAGTTCTTTTTGTTTGTCCCAGTTATAGTATCCACTGCTTAATCCAAGTTACAGTGTCTACTGCTTCAATAAATCCAAATATATCAAATGAATCAAATGTGTTTTTCTCCCCTGTTTTTGTTTCATGTATTCCACTTTGAGATCTCAATCTGGACCTCGGGTTTCCTTAAGTTGGCCACAACCCCTTCCCCATGACACCATCATTTGGAGGCATTCTACTGTATATATGTTCTCCCTCTATTCTAGTCAATTGAAATGCTTCTCCTAAGGCTTAGTTACTGAGATAAAGAGCTTGGTGCTAAAATATACTGCTATGGTTAATTCCACAACTGGAATGTGACCTCTTGAGAACTTCTCTCAAATTGAATGCTGACCCCAGGTTGAAAGCATTTCCATGTCCTCTACTCAAAATACCTTAGCACAAGCAAAGGGCCATACATATCAGTGGGAGATACTGATATTTTGCTCTCACAAGGTCCCAGGTTCTGTCCCTAAGACCTTCTGTGAAAGAAGATAAGGCAATATGAAAGATCTGCCTATAAGTCTGGATTGCCCCTGCCAGTTAACATAGACAATACTAAACTGGGTGGGCATGTTTTCTGTTTCCTTAGCTTCCAATATAGAAAATAAGGTCCCATTTTTCTAGCTTTGCTAATCAGTGCTAAGGCTTAGAAATTTCTCATTCAAAAAGGGCTTTTAGTGAAGAATTTACATTCAGCCATGAGAATACCCAAATTCAGGCTTTTCAGAAACTTTACCTTAGGGGCTTTTACTGTACAAGTCTCCTAGTTTTTTTAGGCTCTTCTCAGATCAGCACTTGGCTCTCCCTCTTGCATTTTAGGTGACTACAGACAACTGCAGCAGCCCACACCTTTTCCTAAAGCCGCTTAGAATCCCTTCATTTTGCCATTTAAAATAATTTTTGGGCATGTTGAGATGTAGTTTCTTTTGCTAGTCATGGGGGAAGGGACAATGATGGAACTCAAGCCTCATCCTTTGAGCCAGTGGTGTTCCCAGCATTAGCGTCACCTGGTGTTTGTGCTGGGATGGTGGTGATGGCAGCATCCTGTGCCCCCCACCCACCC